CAGTTAGCCGAAGAACTGCACCGCACCGAACCGAAAATTTCTGTTCGGTTTGGTTTGGTTTTTCCTACTCTTGCGGTGCGGTGCAGTCAAGAAATTCCAGAAATTCGGTTTTCAGTTTTTTTGTGGTGCGGTTCGATTTTTGACCGAACCGCACCATGCTCACCCCTAGCGTACCCCCATAAGATCATGATGAAGCCATTGTCCTAGCCCGACCGATGGAACCGATACACGATGTAACCCGAGCAGATACGATGCCGCCTCACTTGCCATGTAATCCGCCGCGCAATTAGCTTCTCTATGCACGTGGAGGATATGTACGTAGATATGGCCACGGGCCGGTTGCGAATCGGCACCGGCCTGAAACCGGCCTCCTAAGGGTCGGTTTGTTAAACCGGAACCGTAGGGCCGCGGTTCAGTCCCGGTTCAATTTTTTTTTATTTTTGTCCCGCCGGGTCGGGTCAAATTTTTTATTTTTCTCAAGGGCCTTACCGGCCCGTGAACCGGCTGATCTGGGTGTTGGAGAGCCCGTGGCCCGGCACCTGGTCACGTCTGTACGTACGCTCCAATCATACTGTAGCATGTTCCGTATAACCCGTGCAAGTATTATTTAAATCTATCTATATATAAAAAGAATTACCATTTACTAAAAATAGTAGCAAAAATTTATAAAACATTTAATGCATACTATTTTTAGAAATTTTTTAAATATATGCATTAATTGCTTCTATTTATACGTTCTCAAATAAAATAAAATAACATATGATAAAAGAATTACTTAAATAAATTTATTAATATCTGCAGTATTTTTATTGATATTTATCATAATAAATTACAAGATTGATTTTCGTGATTCATGTTGATAATATTTTGGTCAAGATAAATATTATTTTATTAATATTTGTAATACTTTCATTGATATTCATTATAATAAATTACAAGATTAATTTCTGTGACCCATGTTGATAATATTTTGGTCAAAATAATATTTCACCATATTTTAAGCTCTAACAATAATATTATTTTTTTTTCACAAATATTCACTTTTTATCCAAAAATAATTATGCAAAATCGTAAGAGGCCAGGTAGAATTTTTTTTCCAAGTAATCAGACAAAATTAAGTTGGTGAATTAATCTTTACCAATATATTTGTTTCTTAAGCTTTATTTTGTCAAATATAAAAAATAAATCGTTCTTCAAATTAATATAATTTACCATTTAAGAGATAATGACCAAATACAATAAATAGTTTTACTAATAGTAAGAAATTAAAATTAAAACATAAAAACTATTGTTTAGAATTTTTGTGTATATTATTGGCACCCATAATTATATTTTTATTTTTTTATTTTAATTTATTTCTATAATTAAATTCTTGTAAAATATATTTTCATTGATGAATATGCTAAATAAACCATAAATCCTTATAATGCGAATTAGAAAAATCTTGATCATAGAGGAGATCGAGTTTTTGGCATTTTCTAAATCAAAATTGTTTAATTAGTATACAAAATTAAATTCTAAAGAACATGTGTATATTTTGTAAAATATTTATACACTATTTATATTAAAATTTATTTAAATATTTAAAATTGATTACATAAACAAATAATACCAACGTGCATTAAATATTTTTTATTATATAAAATAAATATAAAAAGAAGACGTACCACTTTATAACTTTATAAATAATAATGACATTATATGACATAAAGTGTATATTAAAATAATAATTAAATATTATATGGTGAACAAGAATAAGTAAAATTGTTATTCTCTCTTATATCAAGGAATATGTATATATATACTAAAATCAAATTTAACTTAGGATAAATGTGTTAGTGAAATAATATATTAATTATTTTAGTATTTTGGCTAAAAAAATAACGTTGATTAAAAGAGGTGCAAAATATATTATGACCTTATTGTTTATTATACTTAAAAGCTGATTAAATGAGATAAAAAAATATATGATAATCCTATTGCTTTATATACTTAAATGGACAAAACATGTGAAAATAAATCTTTTAATATTTTTGTCTCGTGCATTGCACGGGGTACGTACTAGTATATATAAATTGCGAGTTCCTTTTTTTTTTTTTAATTTAAACTCTAGAAAGTAATAAGCAGTGAAGGTTATTCTACTTAATTAATAAAAATACATACTTACAAATAAAGGTTATTTTTATTATATTATATTTTGAGTACCAACATATATATTTAAAATACATACCATTTAACATCCTAACATAATTACTATTCAAATTAACCGTGACACGTAAATTGCACAATATAAAAATTCTCATGCTAGGATTGCTAATAGTTAAACAAAATAACATGTTTATTATATAAAATTTCATACTTTAATACTATTTTGTAAACAATGATATTTTAGTATGTAAAAAATTGATAAAATCAAATGAAGAATGCAACCTGGCATTACTGATCAATTTAATTATGTTTCAAGTTTCAACAGACCGATTTTTTTTTTTTTTTTTTTTNNNNCTCAGGTAACAACTACTAATAGAAGAAGCCAGCAATCCAGAAAGGGCCATCTATCTATATAATTTATACACTAATCGAGCTACCATAATCACAACTCCATATCGTCGTCATCAACTCTCTTACGAACGGTTCTTAAGTCGACCAAGTGGCGCATTGTGGGCCTGCCATGTGGACAGTTCCAAGGAGACTTGAGCACAGCCAAATGTTCTAATATCTGCTTGAAAGGGAAAAGAAGAGAAAATGGGTCATCTATCTTATATGAAGCACTTTTTGCTTGTGTAGCAAAAAGTGGTGAAATTTTAATTTACAAAGAGATCAATTAAAATTATAGAAAATCCAATGAGGCCTCTGAGAATGCAAAGACGGGAGGTTTCGTAATTAGTCTGTACCTTAGGCTATATGTCTAGCTTATAACATTAAGTGAATTTCGAGCTGATAGCTGAAAAACTAGCTTATACGATAAAAGTATTAGGTAAAATTAGCTGATAAGCTAGTTGAAATAAAAAAAAAAAAAATTCAATGGCTTATTTGAAAAACTACCAAAGAAAGCTTGTGAGATAAGGTCGAGCTTTATAAAAAAACTCGTCCGCCCAAATCATGTTTATTTGAATACAAAAAGCTTATAAACTAATCAAATAATGCTTATCTATAAGCATGCTTCCCAAACACAGCCTTAGTTTTTCAAAAGAGAGTGGAAAGCAATGTGTTTTGAGTACTACTACCTTCTGCATTTCATTCCTCCCAAGTGAATCTCCAATCATAACGGATGATCTGCAAGCACGTGATGCCAGCATGGCCCGTACTTTAGGCGCGCAAACCGAATCTGCCATGTCTGTTCGGTAACTGCCAATAATGGTGCATTCTCCATGACTATCATTGAGAATATAAATAAGCTCCTTAATATCTGTGGAAAAATCAACGTAAAGAAAATTATATGACTACCGTAATAAGAACGAGGACTGCAAGCGTAACATGCCGAGTCGAGCATTGGCCTTATCGAGGATTGGCCTTATCGAGCATGATTGTCTTTTCTTTAGCTGCTCGATTTATGAGGCTCGAGCTCGAGTCGATAAAAAAGTACAATCACTCGAGCTCGACTCGAAATCAAAATGCTCGAGCTCGGATCGAAAATTTTTAAGTGAAAAAACAAAATTGCCATCAAACACCTATGCTTACAATATAAGATATATTTAAGGGGTATTTTAGTAATCCAACATATATCTCGATCCGCTCGACAATGCAAAATATGGGCTCGAGCTGTTCGCGCTCGAGTCGAGTTTTGACTCGAATGCTCGCGAGCGGTTGGCGAGCCGCCCGGTTCATTTGCAGTCCTAATAAGAACAGCCCACCCAGTTCACGAGTCACTTGTGTTTTCCCCACACTTAAATTGGGATGGATAGTGAATAATCTCATATGACATCATCTTGGAACACAGAATAGATCACACGTCAACATAAAGAAATAATCTACAGTTCTCCTCAAAACTCTAGCAATCCATCCGATTTCATTCAGATAAGGAGTTTTTAAGTTAAAATATCAGGTTTATGCATTTAAAGCATTCCCATATTACCTGCAATTCCAAATGTTATATTTTTGCTGAAGGGAACTGCTTTCAGTATAAACCTATGTCCAGAAGGAGCTTGTATGTCCTCCTCCAGTAAAAATCCATTTTTCCTAAAATTTGAGAGTAGTACGAAGGCATATATCAATAAATACTGAAAACGGAATGAATTCAGTACAAAACAAACATCTAATTTGGAATTAGAATCTACAAATGGGATGTGGTCGCAAGGACAAATCAAGCCTAGGATTTTATTTACATGTATTGTTGCAGAAATTTAATCCGATATATTATGGGATTTTGGAGCAGTAGCATTAAACAAATCTGATCAGACTAAGAACATAAACTGGAAATCACTGGCTAGGACAAACCACATATACCATGTTATGTCATGTTTTTTTAGAAATATTTGAACAAATGGGACAAGTTAAGACTAACACAAGGTCATCTTCAGGAAGTATTGTTCAAGAGGCTAATCAGCTTTAGTGTTTGCAATCACAAGCACTTGTACTCCATGCATCCTGGTGCTAATAAAACAATCAGATCTATTTATATTTACGAAATAGAAGTTGCAAAAATTACGCCAACTATTACCACAATGTAGGACACCAGAAACTTATGTTAGACATTTTGCAAGAAAGCCCCAGCCGAAGACCTTATATAAATGATCTATGAAGTAAAGGTCCCAGACAAGGAAATAAAGGAAATCAGGTTGAATGATCACAAACAATCTAAGGAAAACGAACAATGCAAAAAGAGGAAGAGGAACCTCTGAGAACTCAGACCTGAAGGTATCCATGTGCATGGAGACGACTATCTCTTCTTCTGGAGCAAGCTCCATTTTTAGTGGCCTGAATTAATGACGGCACAATATATGAGAAGATGAGATATTTAAGAGAGAAAGGCAGCATTTCCAATTCTTATTTTAAAATAATTTATTCTTCTACCGGGTCATATACGGAGAGGAAGAGGATCAAAGTGCTTTCACATTATTAAGAACCTAATTTGAATGCCTTACCGAAGCAAAGGTTGCTGATTCAAAATGGTTGTTTGCGACAAGCGCTCATAGTTGTATTTTTCATCTGCAGCATGCTGATGGAAAACCACAATAAATCAAACATGCTTGAGTATATATTAAAAAAATAAGTAAAAGAGCTGCTAATCATATGGAGAAACATGAATAGGTAGATCACCTGATCCACTATAAAAAGATCCTGATCTAACTTGCCAATGATGAATCCAAGATTAAATTGTCCTACCACCTGAATAACAAACATTCTTTCTCAAGAGAAACTTGAACATCAACAGCGGTGCCATAATAGAAGTAAAATCATTTGGATCATTGAACTTTCCCAAATGTCAATCATGATATTTCTTATTGAGGAAAATGAGTTGAAACCTGCATCTGTTTAAAGTCATCCTTCTTAAACAGCCTTTCCAGCTCACTGGTAGCAGCCGCTAAAGCTTTAGTCTTCCCCTCTTCATTTACTACTTGTGAGTGCTCCAATGATGCTGCAGCAAACTCACTGTGGCTGAAAAATGAAACACGAGTCAACTAAAAATAGAAACATTATAGTCCTCCACATTGTTTCCAACTGTTTGTGAGAGAATTAACTTTTTTGTACCTCCCTAACTTCATCCTTCCAGATGCATTACTAGTGTACCCCAGTCTTGATAGCCTCTGCTTCCTTCTCGACATCAAATCTTTGAAACTGAACTGCAACGAAAAACCAACTTTTGTACCAGAAGAAGCCACTGGAGAGTCTAAAGATACACCAGAAGGTCGCCAAGGGGTATGTCCATCTGCAAGGCCTTTCGAAAGTGGAGAGTTTGTTCTAAGTGAAGCTGTTGGTCCACAATCGGCATCCTGTGCCCTCTCTGGAGTTCTCTGCTCCCCCAATCTGATATCCTGCATCATATATATATAGAGTACAGCTTAATGTAACAACTATAAATTCTCGTCAATTCTGAACAATATTTCACAAAATTCCTGTGGATTTGTGTTCACTTTATGGAATTTATTACATAAAACATAGATAATTTAAAAAAAAAAAAAA